TCGTGAAGTTTATTGATTCCTACCTGGAACCCCCACCTTTTTTGCATTATATCCCGAGTCTAACTCCTGATGATTGAATTTTAATCACTGTACGAGATAAGGAGTTTTTTCAAGAGCTGCTTTAGCTGCAGCATTTGCCCTTGAGTTACCTGTTATGCCTATATGACTTGGCAACCAGCAAAAGACGACGTCACATTGGCAAGTAGTAAGATCATTATATAGTTCTAAAATGTCGAGAAAATTAGGGTGATTCGAGGTGACAACTTTTAGTGCCTGAAGGCAGGACAATGAATCTGAAAGATTATGAATGTTTCAGATTGGGTTTGCTATTTAATATAGGTCAAAGCTATTAGGATAGCTTTATCCTCAGCAGTGAAGATTGAATATTATCTGGGATTCTTGGGGAGACAGTTCTGGATCCAATGATGGTGGCACTTGCAACTTTGCCACCACTCACCCGAAACAGATTCCAGTGGTGAAAAATACTATGAATGGATCAATGAAAATCAGTGTTCGCGAAAAGGGCAAGCAAAGTCACGAGCATTGGTAAGGTGAAGACAGACTACGGAACATAATAGGATTGAATCAGGGATTCGAACCCACTGATAGCCACCCATGAAAGAAAACCTCTGAAGCCAGTATTGTGCGGCACCTGATAATAAAACGAAATATAAGATGAGAATCAGATACCAAGTAAAACTCATTATTGAGAGCAACAAACACATGTTGTAATATGGCAGTGTGTTTTATTTTGATTAACAATGATTGTAAATGTGGTACATTGTTTCAGTTGAGATTCGGTAAACGCTCACTGCATTGTGTTCGGACAGTGATTAGTCGTCAGGAATGTGATACTGTTTAATGTAGGCAGTCGTCAGGAAGTTACTATATTCAGATGCTAGTGTGGTGTGTAAACGTCTGCTGCAGTATACCGCGGACGAGGAATTTTCTTTGTGGTGAGAACACGGTGTAGACATTTCCAGTAGCTAGTGAGGCTGTATGTAAGGGGACACGTATTTCATCACATCAAGACCAGCTTTCGTGTGTGGATCACCCATCACCCCTGAATCCCTGCACATTTAGGCCCGTCTCGGAAGCATGGCCGCTACCATCATATTATGTATTGCCATTGGATATTGTACTGCCACTCTCTTGTGTACTGTCATTGTAATTGCTGTGATGTTATTTGTATGGATTTGTACATGTAAACCTATTTAATTTGGTAATACAATTATTAATTGTATATCATTTGTATGTTTGTTGGTTTCACACTTAGTTCTTTTACGTACATGGGCGGTCGGGTAGCCTAGTGGTTAAAGCTTTCGCTCGTCACGCCGAAAACCCGGGTTCGATTCCCGACATGGGTACAATTTGTGGAGACCATTTCTGGCGTCCCCCGCCGTGATATTGCTGGAATATTGCTAAAAGCGGCGTTAAACCATACTCACTCACTCACTTTTACGTACAGATTTCTGAGTTAACATATTGTTTCAATTTGGGAATCGACGCGTTACAATGTACGTGCATAATACAGAGCAGTGAATTCTCAAAGACTCCAAGTCAATTAACTTGACTTATCATTTAAAGGGCAAATCGTTTCGGCCTGGCAGAACTAGTATAGCAAGAATAATCTGAAATACACACTTCATTTTCATTGTACCAAGGTTTTATCGAATACTATTTCTAGTATTTAGGATAAATAAATAGAAACGAGATTAAATGAAGCAAGGCAATATAATATAATAACTCAACGCCAGAGAATACACAAATTGTAGTTCAGACAATATAGCGACAAATCCGGATGATGTTATCTTCAAAACTTCTGAACGGGATTTCTTGTAACGTTGATAGACATTCAAAAGTTGCGAAGATAAGAACCGACTTTTATGGATGGAAAAGAAGTATGTCAGTGTCTTTACTTCTTGTTTCGTACTCTGTCAATGTCTAAACGTAAAGTATCACCATATATCTTTAACCCTCCTTAATACTTGAATTTCCCTATGAGAGAGTATGCACAGAGTATATACTAGGAAGTATATCCCGATAACCTGAAACTTAAATTGACTTTTCTTCTTTACCACTTCCTCTCCAGATTGCGATTTTTACATTTCAAGAACATATTATTTCTTGAGAGTCTTGAAGCAATTACACTGCGTCGACCCAATTCTATCCTTCTCGAAGACAGTTTACCTTAAGGGAAAATACAATGTAGGTGAGCTCGTGCTATACGAATCCCAGAATGTCAAAGATGATATCCGTGTAATTTAGGTCACCTTTTTTGTTCTAAGACTGTTACGATTTTTTTATTCCGATTTGAGTAATGCAGCTGTCATCACTACTGTCACCATTCATTCTACTGACAGATGAAAGCTGTGTTATTGGTGCAATACTGGCATATCAAAGCTGTGTAGTTTATGCAACACTGACATATCAAAGCTGTGTTATTGATGCAACACTGACATATCAAAGCTGTGTAGTTTATGCAACACTGACATATCAAAGCTGTGTTATTGATGCAACACTGACATATCAAAGCTGTGTTATTGATGCAACACTGACATATCAAAGCTGTGTTTTTGATTCAACACTGACATATCAAAGCTGTGTTATTGATGCAACACTGACATATCAAACCCGTGTTATTTGATTCAACACAGACAGTTCACACCTATGTTATTTGATTCAACACAGACAGATCAAACCCGTGTTATTTGATTCAACACAGACAGATCAAAGCTGTGTTATTGATGCAACACTGACAGGTCAAAGCTGTGTTATTGATTCAACACAAACAGTTCACACCTATGTTATTTGATTCAACACAGACAGATCGAACCCGTGTTATTTGATTCAACACAGACAGATCAAAGCTGTGTTATTGTTGCAACACTGACAGGTCAAAGCTGTGTTATTGATTCAACACAAACAGTTCACACCTATGTTATTTGATTCAACACAGACAATTCACACCTGTTTATTGATTCAACACAGACAGATCAAAGCTGTGTTATTGATTCAACACAGACAGATCAAACCCGTGTTATTTGATTCAACACAGATCAAACCTGTTTGATTCAACGCTGATGCCACTGTTAGACAAAGGAAAACACTTACCAGTATCAGTCTGTGATGTTTGACACGGCGCCGACGAAACATTATCACTGAGACGGAATACATTTTAACTTATTATGGATTAATAAAAAGTTTTTATGTCTGGTTAGTTTGACCAGTAACGAGCTACTGGGGAACTAAAACGGAAGCCCGTAAGCAATCCTCAAATCAAAGCGCCATCAGTTGGGATTGCTACAGCTTTTGTCATATTATACGCTTTGATAGACGAATGGATTCCGAAACATGGTACAGTTAATGCCCGTTGTATTAGCACAGATTATTATTTCTCTCGAGAACAGAGATTTCAAATCACAAGCCTCTACTTAATACAACTGTTGTGATGGATGAAGTATCATGCAAGAATATATACTGAACAACAAACGTTCCTGTGACATTGAATAAGATTTAATGCAAAGTTATGTTTTTTACCAAATCTGAAACAATCTCGGTTTGCAACAGATAAAACGACTCCCGTAAATGTTCAAATGGTTTAATTTGCCATACTGACTTCAGAAAATGCGTGATTTCATTAAAAAAAACATGAACATGCCAAAATGTCAATTTACAAATCAATAGCGTGTGTGTTCACCTCTGGTTGCGATGCAAGCAACACATCTTCGTCTCATGGAATGGACCAGGCGTCCCATAAAGTCCTGTGGGATATCTGTCCATATCTGCTGGATCATGTTTCGAAATTCCTGGAGTGTCTACGGAACATGTGGTTGACGTCGAAGGCGCCGATCCATCTCATCTCACATGTGCTCGATTGGTGAGAGATCAGGGGAGCGAGCCGGCCAGGGGATGACAAAACGTTTTTTGTTGAAGAGACTCCTGAACAAGTCGAGCAATATGAGGCCGGGCGTTGTCATGTTGAAAGGTAATGCCTGGGCCATGACGCAAAAACGGTAGAACAACAGGGCCGATAATCTCGTCCATTGAGATTTCTCTCTACCACTATCAAACGGGTCCTCTGTCTTGCTGTAATCCAACCCCATACCATAACGCTGCCGCCCCCGAACCGATCTTCTTCCATGACACAATGATTGACGTAACGCTCACTTCGACGTCGGTACACACGAATCCGTCCATCGCTGTGGCTGAGGTGAAAACGAGAGTCGTCAGTGAATAGAACTTGTCCGAACTGCATGGCCGTCCAGCATAGACGCTGTCTGCACCAATGTAGACGTGCCTGGCGGTGGTTTCCTGTCAATATGGGACGTTTGGCGGGTCTTCTGGCGACAATCCCTGCACATCTGAGGCAACGACGTACGGTTTGTGAAGATATTTCGTAATGTTTACTAATTGCGTTATTTTGTTGTTTTCCTGAGTGGTTGTTGTCAGCACGATGCTAAACAATGCATATGGAATCCCGTTAACGAACATGTTTTTATACCCATTCTTGGGTAGTAAAATGCACGCTTTTCTGTAGCAGTTGCGTTTTTGTGACTTGATTCCATACATGTACTACCATATTGAAAACCAATCTTTACTTGTTTGAAAAATACACTAAAATATTGGTGACACAGGAACTTTTGTTGTTGATTATACGTGTAGGATATGGTCCGAAAAGTCACGATTATTTTTACACGTGGGGCGAGTTCGAGGCCGTCAGGCCGAGAACTTGCTTCACGTACAAAAATAATAGTTACTTTGAGGACCATATCCAACTAAAAACAGAGTCCCATTCAAAATACATGTTAAACTAATGTCCACCCAATATGCACGTGCATATATATTGGAGGGTCGTTCTTGTTTATGCCGAATCGATAGGAACTGCGCGCCTGAACGCGCTCAAGTTCGAGCAAAACTATTGGAGCCCTCGTCTTATAAGAGCGCGGAAAAGCACGTGCGATTTCTCAATTCGCTTTCAGTCTTTGTACGTGATTAACATGGGAGATTCCGATTCCGATTCCGATATTCATTTCATTACACAAAATCGTTTTACGAGCTCGTACCAGGCAGAATTTAACTCAGATTTTGAAAGACTTATTAATACTGATATTGAAACATTTGACGTGGCTGTACCAGATTTTGATGTTGGTAAAAATGATATCTTGGAATCAGATGAGTTCTCTGGAAATGATACAGATTTGGTGGAACACTCTCAAGTAGAAGCAAGTATTCCCCAGGCCATACCAATTCCCATTACTACTCATACCATTGATGACGCAGACAGTATTTCCGGAAATAACGCAGGTCCTATTCCTAACCGTTTTAGCAATCCTGTGTCAGAGAAGGATCTTCAAAGTCTTTGTAATTCGGCTTTTTCTCAGAACACAGAAAACAAGAGTAGGTGGGCCCTCAACGTCTTCCAAGCGTGGGTCAAGGAAAGACAATCACGTAGGTTACGTGATGACGTCTTGTTAAACCCCGACATTATTGCCCTTTCGCATCGTGAAACAGATCTTAATAAAACTCTCATGCGTTTCTTGGTAGAAGTACGAAACCAAAAAGGTGAAGAATATCGGGTAAATACGTTATATGAACTGATTGCGTCATTGCAATACTATCTCCGAAGACATGATGTCGAGATTAACGTTTACGAGTCTCCTTATTTCAAGGGAATGAGAAACGTCTTGGATGCTCGCATGAAGTCATTAGCTAAGCAGGGTATTGGCATTGAGAAAAGACAGGCAAATGTTGTTTCAGATGATCAAGAGGATATACTGTGGGAGAAGGGTATGCTCGGCGAGGATACGCCTCAAAAGTTGCTAGACACTTTGGTCTATCTCATTGGCTTAAACTGTGCACTTCGAGCTGGAGACGAACACAGGAATCTACGTGTGGGCCCCAATTCTCAATTTCAAATAACAGAAGATTCAAGTGGCGTCACCTATTTGAAATATACTGAGGACATTTCTAAGACAAACAAAGGCGGCTTAAAAAGTCGGAAATGTTCAAGGAAGACCATTCGAGTGTCAGAGAACGTTGAACTACCACAGCGATGTCCAGTTCGACTATACCGCAAATACATGTCTCTGAGGTAAGTTTTTAGGCTATAGAATTGAATTTAAAACAGTTTGTTGCAGTCAAATTGTTTATTATGTGATTTGCAATTGATCTGCATGTGAAAAAATAACAATTTTTTTCTCTTAAATAACAGCAACAATCGCGCTTAAAGTACATATGAATAAAAAAAATAATCTTTGCTTAATTTATGTGGTGTGAATCCCGATTTCAAATTCTTATAATTTTTGACTGCAATGTATATTTCAGACCCAAAAATGGTAAATGCAACGCATTTTACCTGCGACCACTGCACTACGTCAAGGAGGGTGTCTGGTATGCCGATATTCCCGTCGGGAAGCACCCGTTACGTGCAACAGTTTCCAAACTCTTCAAGCAAGCTGGTATTGAAGGATATTTCACTAATCATTCTCTTCGAGCAACGGCAGCTACTAGACTGTACGATTGCGGCCTGGACGAGCAATTGATAGCCGAACGCACTGGACACAGATCTCTGGCTATCCGTAGCTACAAGGTATTTGTATTAATTTTACTGGTGTTTCTAGATGTGTCGTATGGATCTCAAGTCCTGTCGGAAATCCTAAAAATTGAATTTTCGCCTTTACTCTCAATATCATATTTTTAAAGTTTTACTGAAATACCTAATCTAAATCATAAATGCCTAGGGTTTTATCATTTTTATGTTTCAAATGAGCAATTTCTAATTGTGAATTTACAGGAGGAAGCTTTATCCAAAATATTCTACTTTTGCAGGAGCGTTGTATATCTTCAAATATGGGGGGAAATAAAGAAATGAAGGAAATCTGAAACAGACTATAAATTGATGCAAATGTAGTTTTGTAGCACATATTTTTACTGTTTAAAATAATGCTTCATTATTGGTTGCTAATATCAATGTTGCGATAAATAGGTGAGTTAAATTTCTTATTTTTTTTCATCGCCTCACCTATTATTTAAAACCTACACCCATAATGCATATATCATTAGATGTACATAGCCAAACCAGGGTTTATGCCATAACGTTTAAAGTACTTTCTCTCATCCTAACATAAAGATAACTTTAATAAAGATTTGACATTTTTCTCCCGGGAAGCAGTCGTTTCATTTTTAAATGATATCTTTATGATTCCTAACTTCAGTCCCATTCTCTTAAAACCGCTCGATTTGATAATATTTGCCTTTATATTTTATGGAGACTCCCCAATACATTGACTGTCATCTAGGTCAGCTTTGTACCTGTTAGGTGACCGGTCACTGACGTCATGGTCCCCCCGTGATTATAGTCTATTTCACACATTTAGGTGCACAAATGAATGAGTATCCAACGTTTAGCTGTAAACATGAATTTCTAACATTGTGACATTAAACTAGATGATAACCGATGTTATTTAATGTGATATTTCTTACAATCTTTACTGTATGAAAAAAGTACGATTTATCATTTGACATCGTCCAATATGCATTCTAAACTCGCACAACACTTTTTGTTACAGAGAACATCTGCACAGATGGAGGACCGAGTAGACGGAGTTATTCAGAGAAAATCGAGAGCCTCTGCAACTGTTACATCTGCCGCCTCTGGTCCCGCTATCGCACCTTCGAAAACGTTGGTATCTACCGCCTCTGCTGAGGCTAAATCGGCTGAGACAATGTTGACACCTACAGCGGTTCTGGATGAAACGTCAACAGTCGCAGTAACAGAAACAACTACAGCCGAGAGTGCAGCAAAAAAATCCATGAAACTCGTATTACCAGATGGGGCAACTTTGTCGTTGTCTTTCTGAAATAAATTTAATTTCTAATGTGTCTCCGTTTCATTTACCTCAGAGGACAGGCATCATGGTAGTTTTATAGTGTTAACACACATACAGGACGGTTCGTGTATTTGGGATTTAGCGCCTTTATTACAAACAGAACTTCAGTTATATCACGGCGGCATGTTCATTGCAGAAGAAAAGCCTGCCAAACTATCGTGGTTATGTGTTGCAGTGAAACGTGCGAACGTCGACTGGCATATGCAAACCAATGGTGAGCGTAGTTCCTTAACTAATTGGGAGGGTGCGTTTCTACGTTTTGTCTATCAAAGTTCACAAACACGGTTCGACTGACATGATCGGCTAATGGAGTTTAAACTATTGGAGGGTGCACATTAGTTGATAACTATTGGAGGGTGAACATTAGTTGTTAACTATTGGAGGGTTTATCTGCAATACACCGACTACTGGAGGATTACAGCATGAATGCGCACGACCCAATTCACACGAACATTCATGTGACTTTGTTTTAAATGTGTTTCCAGTGTAGGCAAATACATGTACATGTGTACTCTATACCCCATGCTCGAATTATGACACGTGCAAAAGTCATGTCACATGTCGCATTCACACACCAATAAGCTTTGATATTTATTAACATGTATGTTTTACATGTTCATTCAAACTTCAGATATTCCAAAATTGTGGAACTCGAGTGGCCATGGCTCAATCGCCGAACAGTGAGGGTTCCGCAATTCCGATAACCATTTGTACGGAATCATGTTGCCCCTTGTTATGATTCGTGGTTGGAAAGCATCATATTCCTGCTCGTGTGTTAAATTCAACTAGCCTTTGCATGTGTTTGTGACGGATGCCACAGATGAGGCAGGATTCGCTCACTTTACACGACACCATGATTTAGTTGGAATCGTACAATGGTACCGTCCAATCATCAGGTACCGCAATCTCGATTCCACTTGTTTACTTTTCTTGGCCTGTCATCGTCACACTTATGCACGTGGTTTATATCAAGGTATTTAACGTCCAGGAAATGCATCAATTTGGGATTCCCTCGCACACTGTAGCGCCGAGATTAAGTTTTAAAGCGACGTTAACCAAACTCACTCACTCATTCGCAAAACTTTATTACATGAGGATTTTTAACCCAGGAATGTTCATTGTCTAATACATGTAAGTGTTCATAACGTTTGTAGGTAACTAAAAAAAATATTTATCAGTATTAATAATTTCTTTATCAGTATTAATCTATATCACACATCTGTCATCGGTTAGGCTAGAATTCATACAATTGACTTAATAGCAGCTGCTAGTATGATAGTCATGTATTCGGCGTTCGTGGAAACTTACGTGTTTCACCATTACCGTAAAGGTCTGTTCTTAGAGACATGATCGTAACTCGCATGTTCGGTTCCGCAGTGACAGATGTTATTAAGGAGATACGGTAGAATGGAGATAATTCTAATTTCCAATTTAAAGTTACATGGTATTTTCAATGCTGATTTTAGCACTAACTTATATCAAAACAGTTGACATTATGTACTGTCAATTTAACTAACTGTTCTGGAACTGCGCTTAAAGTTAGCCTACTCCCAAATGGACCATTAATTCATAGCAAATGCGTTGCCTAATAGTTTAACAGCATGCTGTCAATTCTGCTATTTTAAGTAGCGGTTACGAATTCCATGTTTTGACAACATGCAGATGAAACAAGAGTGCATCTTGTACGCATTCATCACATCGTGATATATATGATGAACGTCCTGATATATATTATTGATAAGAGCGATGGTGCTTTGCCAAAGATATAAAGTTTCTTTAGACACTTTACACGCTGTTTAGAGATATTGATTTTCAGTAGATAAAAGCGACGAAACCCTTTTTCACAGCCGCAAGAAATATCTGCCCAAAGCAGAGTCTAGTGTTTATTTCAGACCGTAACATAAGAATGTGTTTGTGAATCACTATCAAATAGTGATGATACTAGGTGTTCGCGAATAGGTGTGTGTTTACTGCCGGTGGCACCCATCACAAACGTATTCAGAGGCAAGATCAATTGCTCACCTGCACACATGGTTTGTCATAAAAAAAGGATGTAAATTGCTTTAAGGCCTGTTTGCTTATTTTAGAACGGAACCCCAGCCTTTTACACTAAAACGCAAACCAAGACTTGAAATCAAACAGTATTGTGCCCATCGCTGGGAACTAAATGTTGTTTAACTACACGTATACACCTTTTGAAATAAGAACAGAAAAACAATGTAGGCCGTCATTCATCAGTTCTCTTTCACTCACATTTGGGACAATTAAACCCACACATCCGGATGTTCCCCGTGAGAGAAGATGGTACATATTACACTTATTCAGGTAAAAACTCCCTTTAATAACATGTGCCGGGCGTCTTCCTGAGATCGCTTGTTGCCAAGACTCATTACGTGTCGTCTTCCTGAGATCGCTTGTTGCCAAGACTCATTACGTGTCGTCTTTCTGCGATGGCTTGATGCCAAGAATCATTATTTGTCGTTTTCCTATGATGGCCTGAAGCCAAGAATCATTACGTGTCATCTTTCTGCGATGGCTTGATGCCAAGAATCATTATTTGTCGTTTTCCTATGATGGCCTGAAGCCAAGAATCATTACGTGTCATCTTTCTGCGATGGCTTGATGCCAAGAATCATTATTTGTCGTCTTCTTGCGATGGTTTGATGCCAAGACTCATTACGTGCCGTCTTTCTGAGGTTGCTTGTTGCCAAGCCTCATTTCGTGCCGTCTTTCTGAGATGGCTTGATGCCAAGAATCATTACGTGTCGTCTTTCTGCGATGGCTTGATGCCAAGCCTCATTACGTGTCGTCTTCCTGCGATGGCTTGATGCCAAGCCTCATTACGTGTCGTCTTTCTGCGATGGCTTGATGCCAAGAATAATTACGTGTCATCTTCCTGCGATGACAGGGGCGGTCGGGTAGCCTAGTGGTTAAAGCGTTGGCTCGTCACGCCGAAGACCCGTGTTCGATTCCCGACATCGGTACAATGTGTGAAGCCCATTTCTGGTGTCCCCCGCCGTGATATTGCTGGAATATTGCTAAAAGCGGCGTAAAACCATACTCACTCACTCACTACTGCGATGGCTTGATGCCAAGAATCATTCCGTGTCATCTTCCTGCGATGGCTTGATGCCAAGAATCATTCCGTGTCATCTTCCTGCGATGGCTTGATGCCAAGAATCATTCCGTGTCATCTTCCTGCGATGGCTTGATGCCAAGAATCATTACGTGTCATCTTCCTGCGATGGCTTGAAGCCAAGACTCATTACGTTTCGCCTTCCTGCGATGGCTTGATGCCAAGACTCATTACGTGTCGTCTTACTTGCGACGACTTGATACCATGGTTTATTGCGTGTTAGTCTTCAAGACAACCATAGTCGATTGGTGCATCTTCAGAATCAATACGGGGCGGTCGGGTAGCCTAGTGGTTAAAGCGTTAGCTCGTCACGCCGAAGACCCGGGTTCGATTCCCGACATGGGTACAATGTGTGAAGCCCATTTCTGGTGTCCCCCGCCGTGATATTGCTGGAATATTGCTAAAAGCGGCGTAAAACCATACTCACTCACTCACTACTGCGATGGCTTGATGCCAAGAATCATTCCGTGTCATCTTCCTGCGATGGCTTGATGCCAAGAATCATTCCGTGTCATCTTCCTGCGATGGCTTGATGCCAAGAATCATTCCGTGTCATCTTCCTGCGATGGCTTGATGCCAAGAATCATTCCGTTTCATCTTCCTGCGATGGCTTGATGCTAAGACTCATTACGTGTCATCTTCCTGCGACGGCTTGAAGCCAAGACTCATTACGTTTCATCTTCCTGCGATGGCTTGATGCCAAGACTCATTACGTGTCGTCTTACTTGCGACGACTTGATACCATGGCTTATTGCGTGTTAGTCTTCAAGACAACCATAGTCGATTGGTGCATCTTCAGAATCAATACGGGGCGGTCGGGTAGCCTAGTGGTTAAAGCGTTAGCTCGTCACGCCGAAGACCCGGGTTCGATTCCCGACATGGGTACAATGTGTGAAGCCCATTTCTGGTGTCCCCCGCCGTGATATTGCTGGAATATTGCTAAAAGCGGCGTAAAACCTCACTCACTCACTCACTCACTCACTCAGAATCAAAACTAAACTGCCACATTAACAGCTCGGACAATTCCTGAGTTGACACCCATTGGAGGTAGAATCGTCCGAAACCGGCTAAGGGAGCACAGCATCCGGCTCGACGTCCAGCGATACGCCCAATTGTGCTTCGACGTCACCGCCAGGGACACCTAGCTTGGTAAAGAGCGCATCTGAGGTAAAGAAGGTAAGTCTAGGACAGTATACTGTTCACAGATGAGTCCAGGTTTCATCTGGACATCTCTGAGGGCCGTACAAGGATTTCAAAGACGTTTCAAAGATGCTTGCCTTACCCCACCCAATCAGTTTTGGGGGTTGGAAGTGGGATGTTGTAGAGTGGCAGGTCAAATCATCATTGTTAATTGTCACACACGGTACTGACATTGTTAAATGAGTTGTTACCACACCCTTCCTTTAGGGTGGGTCTCTTGTTACCGGTATGGGATTTGTCAATGAATTTGTTATAATCACACATGGATAAGACGAATGACCAAATATTATGTATTTATTTTCAATAACATAACATTTACATCACTTTATAGGAAGCACAGTTACTCTTTTCGATGGTAAAGGTGTTGTATCCGATCTATACATAAAAATATTATGATATTTACTTTAAAATATTTATTCACTTTTGAAGTCGACCAGTAAGGTAGGTCATTTACATAAAAGGCTTCAAGTAAATATCTGATATTCTAACCACCTCTTAGGCAGTTCCACGCAAAGCTTTTCGAAGGTATCTTTCTATTTCCTCTATCAAAGATGTTTAATTTGACTAAAGGTTATCGATTATGCCGTAAAGCAAGAACATATTTGATATGACACCTCGTCAGTACTTGTTTTCT